CACTACCTACCCCCTGGATCCTGTCCCCTCACAACTACTACGGTCACCCTCTTCTACCATCCTATGCTCCTTCACTCACATCTTCAATCTTTCCCTCTCTACTGGTGCCTTCCACTCCCCTCTAAAGCATGCGCATATCACTCCCATACTTAAAAAGACCTCCCTGGACCCCACCAACCTGAACAACTTAAGACCCATCTCCCTGCTGCCATTTTCCTCTAAACTCCTAGAACGCTTAGTCTACAATCGCCTGAGCTCCCACCTCACCGACAACAACCTTTTTGACCCTTTACAGTCTGGCTTTCGCTCACTACACTCCACTGAAACTGCCCTACTAAAACTCACTAATGATCTACTAACTGCTAAAACCAATGGCCACTACTTCATACTCTTACTACTTGACCTCTCTGTGGCTTTTGATACGGTTGACCATCCCTTCCTCCTCAAAAAACTCCACTCTCTTGGCCTCAGAGACTCCGCAGTCTCCTGGTTCTCCTCCTACTTATCACAGCGCTCCTTCAGTGTTACCTATAACGCTGCCTCCTCCTCTTCACTCCCTCTTTCTGTAGGGGTCCCTCAAGGTTCTGTCCTTGGACCCCTTCTCTTCTCCATCTATACCTCCTCCCTTGGTCACTTGATAAACTCCCACGGCTTTAAGTACCATCTCTATGCTGATGACACACAAATCTATCTTTCTACCCCTCACCTCACCCCTTCAGTCTCCACTCGCATTACTAACCTACTAAGTGACATATCGGCATGGATGTCACTCCACTTCCTCAAACTCAATCTTTCCAAAACTGAGCTCTTCGTATTCCCCCCAGCCCGTGCCCCCTCCCCTGACTTCTCCATCAAGATCAATAACACAATCATCAGTCCCTCCCTCTCATGCCAGGGTACTAGGTGTAATCCTAGACTCCCATCTGTCCTTTCAGCCCCAAATCCAATCACTGTCCAAATCTTGCAGACTTCACCTCCGCAATATCTCCAAGATACGCCCGTTCCTAACCTCGGAAACCACTAAGCAACTTATTCACTCCCTTGTTATATCTCGCCTTGACTATTGTAACTCCCTCCTCATTGGACTACTTCATCGCAGGCTATCCCCTCTTCAGTCTATCCTGAATGCTGGTGCCAGACTCATCCTCCTTACTAACCATTCTGTATCTGCCACCCTTCTCTGCCCATCCCTTCACTGGCTTCCCGTTGCCCAACGGATAAAATTCAAAACACTAACAATAACATATAAAGCCATTTATAACTCTGCCCCAAATAACATCAGCGATCTTGTCTCTAAATATCACCCAAACTGTACTCTTCGCTCCTCGCAATACCTCCTACTCTCTAGCTCCCTTGTGTCCTCCTCCCATGCTAGTCTCCAGGACTTCTCTAGAGCTTCCCCCATCCTCTGGAACTCTCTACCCCCAATTTATCAGACTATCGCCTACTCTGCTCACCTTTAGGCGATCTCTGAAAACCTATCTCTTCAGGGAAGCCTATCCTGCCCTCAGCTAATACTGGAATATTCTACTCTTCCAACCAGTCCATCCCCCACAGTTACTACCTTTTGTACCACTAGCCCCTCCCTCCTAGATTGTACGCTCCAAGGAGCAGGGCCCTCAAATCCCTCTTGTATTGAACTGTATTGTTGCTGTATTGTCTCCCGTTATATTGTAAAGCGCTGAGCAAACTGTTGGCGCTATATAAATCCTGTATAATAATAATAATTTCAATTATGAAATGCTCCAGTCAATGTAAATGTGCAAAACAATACCAACTGCAATATTGTATTGTTTCCAGAAAAAAGTGCATATAAGTGTTAAAATGTCCAGACTCTAATGAGCCACACAATTTGTCACTACTTGTGATCAAAACCAGCGTAACAGCTCTTCAACACTACACATTCGCTCTTCCATCTTCCTTAAAACTGCTCACTCTCCAGAATTGTTAGATAAGCAGATCTAAATATACTGTATAGCAGAACGGTTTTCTCTAGAATCTTCCTCCAACAGCCACAGGAAAATGGACCCAGATAAACACTGCAGTATACTGATTAACAATATCCGTCTGCAAGCAGGAAGCCCACCTCTCAGTTATTAGATGGAGGAGCTCTGCCACTATGTTACATAGTCCGGTATTGGTAACAAAGACCAGGTCTACCAAATCCTGAAGCCACAGTCATGTGATGTTTCGTCAGAGGATTTACACTAACTGGAGCACTTTATAATTGAAATTTGTGATTTGCACAAAATTGATTTGGTGCACTTCTATGGATGTAATATTTTTTATCTTGGAGTTATTTAGGATTTTTTCCTAGGTAGCACTTTAATAATACAATTCTGATTGCTGTTCACTCTTTTAAGAAATATTAGTATTGGGGTATTCCCTGTTGGCTCTGTTTTACACCTTTTTATAAGTAAAACCTTAAAGGGTAACTCCACTTTTGTGGGAAAAAACAATTGACAAAAAATGATATAGCGTTTGCGATTATGACTCAAGTCATATTGTAATTGAATGTTATTTAAAATGACCTTTCCTTTTCAATCTGCAGTACTGTAATGTTCTGTAAAATGTAATGCAATATGGCTACCTGGAGGCGTTCTGTACAGAATGCCTCCTGAAAATGTAATTTCCTGCTTGAGTGATTGGCTTACTGATTTTCCCATAAGTCTGCATTAAGATACAAGGCAGATTTTTGGCATCCCCTGCAACAAAAATGTAATTTTTTGGTGAGATACTCCCTATGGAAAATCACGTCTAAAGGGATGCAGACCTTGCCAGTTTGCTCATTAGACTCCAATGGAAAGAAGGGGCATCCAAGAGGCACTGGGACTTTGATATGAGCTTAAACAAGGTAGTGAGAGGGTAAAAAACATTTGAAGAGCACAGTGGCTCAGGTTAGGCTGCTAACAACAGGCAATGCCACACTACTTTGGGTACTCCAGCAGGTTACCAGGAAAAAGTGTGCATGTATGGAAGGAGCTCCACACCAAAAGATGTTCTTATCTTTCAAATCTATCAAATTCATTCATTGATGTTATGTTAAAAGATGGCCAATGTGTTTTGAGGGTCAAAGCCCCCTCCCTTCAGCAGGGCTTCAGTTAAAAATGAGAACCTTGAATGGACTCAAAGGCTATCCTGTTTGAATCTGTGCAGGGGAGCTGATTTTTTGGAGTAGGATTCTTGATCATAATATGTCAACCGACTTGAAATACGCCCAAAGCCCAAATAAATGTCCCAAATTGTGAAAAATTGTCCAAATTACATCCAGATCTTGATAAATAGGTACCCACTCGTACACAATGAAGATGAATCCCAGATGCTTTTCATATACCTCAAAAAAAGAAAAATCTAGACATAGTGTATTATCTTAGGTCTCAAAGACAGTGCCACACGTGCAGCATGCAAACACTAAAGTGCCACAGCAATCGTGTAAAAATACTCAATATACACCACTGCAAACCATACAGTAAAAGTGCATAATTACCCTAAATTCAATATAATCAACATGTAATTCAAGATTTTAGGCATGGAATATCCTCAGATTGACATCTTCTTCTCCAGACACTTCCCTTAGGCCTCACAAACAGACCAGGGATCAGCGTATGAATCAAATAACATACAAATTTTATTGTAGCCACTTACATTATAAACCGATAAAAACAGCTTCCTGGTCCTGACGATGTGTATACAGCCATATTGTGGTATCAAACAGCTTCCTGATTATAAAGAAGTATATACCGCCACAGTACTTCTAAACACTGACACTTCAGCTCTAGAAGGGTGCCAGGAATACAGACCACCATGTGCTCCAGAATCCAAAATGGCCGCCACGGCACTTCCGGGAACGTCACTACGTCACGTGCCCCGGACGCGTTTCGTCACTTCCGGACTTTGTCCGTGGTGGTATATATTGAGTATTTTTTACACAATTGCTGTGGCACTTTAGTGTTTGCATGCTGCACGTGTGGCACTGTCTTTGAGACCTAAGGTAATACACTGTCTAGATTTTTCTTTTTTTGAGGTATATGAAAAGCATCTGGGATTCATCTTCATTGTGTAGGAGTGGGTACCGATTTATCAAGATCTGGATGTAATTTGGACAATTTTTCACGATTTGGGGACGGTTGATATATTATATTGGTACTTCAGGGGAAGGATTGTGATACGACTTTAATGGGTATTGTATTTTTGATGTGTGCTGACTTATAGTTATTTTAGGATTTTTGATCAGCAGTGTCTGTATCAGCAGTCAAAATAGGAACTTATTCTTATTCTGACTGCTGATGCAGACACTGCTGGTCAGGAATCGTACTCCAGTAATCGGCTCCCCTGCACAGATTCAAAAAGAAAAACCTTTGACTCCATTCAAGGTTCTCATTTTTAACTGACGCCCTTATGAAGGAGGAGTTCCTTTGACACCCGAAACACGTTGGCTGTCTTTTAACAAAACATCAGTAAATTAATTTGGACTCTTATCTTTTGGTCTGGCTCTTCTTCCATATATGCACAAGTTTACTCAGAGCCCTGCAGGTGTGGCAGCTGATTGATAATTGTAAAATCTCTCCCACACAAATCCACTCTGTATGTGGACACGGACAAACAAACAGCTCTTTCTTCAGAATACCAAAACGTTAGAATCTGCAACAAAGTTTTTTACAATCCTTGCAATGTACATAGATCAGCCAAAGGGGAATGTTTTTTGCAACAAACGTGGAGTTACTCTTTAATAAAATGTGTGTGGGGGGGGGGGGGGGGGGGGGGATATTTATCATTAGTCTGATCGCTCTGGTGAGTGGCTTTCATTTATTTAGAAGTCCTCATACCACTTGATGAACTGGGACTAAACAGGTAACATTAGGACCCAAGTGGACACCGCTGGTTTTCCTTTTTCTACTTCTCCTCCTAAATGTATCCTATTATCATGCTGTGATTTGGTGGGCTGTTAGTTGTGTTTTTTTTTTTTCCCCTGATGCCTCAATTGTGCTCGTTGTCCGCAGGTCCCGAAGTGAGCACTACAGCTGGTAAGTATCCACACCAGTGTCTGGATAAACCTTGGTTACTTCATTTCTAATCTCAGTTTTACCCTTCACAAAAGCAAAAATCTCTTACTAACCTTCTAACCCCATCATGAATTCATCATTAATTGTCGCAGCTGAGCTTTAGTGTAGCTTGATTGCACTGCGTCCATATCCTGAAAATGCATGTTCATGCTGAAGCACGATCTTGGTAATATTTCAGTCTGCATGGTAATACGTGAAATAAACACCTTTTAAAACCATCATGCATGGAAATAAACAATGCAGGTTGCTGGATTTACATTATACTTTGTCTCCAGTTCACCAACTATGGTCATTAATTGTTTTCCATCATAGGATGTGATACACGGTGCTCAAATCACAAAGCTTGGGATGTTTTTATTTTTAAAAAGTGACAGCTATTTTTAGTTGAGTCCTATGCTGTGTGAATTGAGCCTATGGCCTTCAAGTATTAGTCGATCAGCATGATAGGATTTAAAGCGGTAGTAAACTTGTTCCAAAAAAAAAAAAAAAACAGTTTCCTCCTGTACTGTAATATCATAGTGTGCTAGTATGCACTGTATACTAGCGCATTATGTGAAACGTACCTTAAAATGAAGCCCTCCAGCGGCACGCTGTCACCGCTGACAGGGCTTCCATCTTGACCCGGTCTTCTTTCCCTGTTCCCGGACTGCAGCTGCTTGAATGGCTGAGCCGCCGATGATGTTGCTCCTGCACATGCGTGTGGTAATTTCAGCCACAGTATTTTACCTACAGAAATGAGAGTTTACTACCACTTTAACAGCAGGTTGGCAGTTTCTGTGTAACCTATAGCAGTAGAGAAGGGCAACAAACCTTTTGCAGTCAAATTGTTTGTTTTAGTTTTTTGTTATATAGGTACAGATACTACTTGATGCAGGATTGTTAGGGCCATGTGACATTGGCAATCGTGATACTGGTGGCTACTCACCAGCAACCAAATCACTAAAGAGGCTCACTTGTGCCCATGTTGTCACTAGCAAGGGAGCACTCAGGTGAGCAGTCTGTTCAGCTGATGCGGCATGGCCTTTAGGTTTGAGTGTCAATACTTTTGGGCCAAGGTAATTATTGCCCGGCTACTTCAGGTGATATCTAAAACCAAAGCTTTTTTGCTTCTTTCTATGGAATTGTGTATACCCCTTCTCAGGTTTATTTTTTTGTTATCTGCACCCTGTTTGAGAGATTTTCCTTTACATCCTGTCCTTTTGGATACAACAGTGAGTGAGAGGAAAAGTGAATATCTCCGGTGTAAACAGAAATCAAAACCTGACAAGATTTTAACCCCCCAACAATCTACCCTTAACATAGAAAAGGAGGCTTTGGGAGTAGGTACACTTTGTTAGCCATGGTAATGTAATAAAGAATTAGGTTAGAGCTGGGCTTGGGTTAGGGGGTCTTGCAAGGGTCAAATGGTAAGTGGGAAAAGGTTGGCATATACCTGTGAGGACAGGCTGATTGTCTTCCCCCCCCCCCCCCCCCCCAAAACTTACCTGAGCCTGCTCTTGGTCCGATCCAATGATGTGCACAAGAGCAGCGGTTCTTCCGGGACTATCTTCCCCTGTTGGCTCCAACGGCTGTTGATCACAGCCAGTGACAAGGGAGTGGGACTAAGCCATGCTCTGTGTGTCCCATAGATGCACAGAGACGGCTCGTGAGCAAGTGTCCCTAGAGCAAACAGCTTGCTCTGGGGGCACTCTACAAGGGGGAGGTGCCAGAAGCACTAGCAGGGGAACCAAGAAGAGGAGAATTGGGGTTGCTCTGTGCAAAACTATTGCAGAGAGCAGGTAAGTATGACATGTTTGTTAATTTTAAATTAAAAAAAAAAAATGTTTAGAACCACTTTAATTTATCTAACTGGTGACTAACTGAATCAAACATTCAGTCATTGGAATCTGAAGCTCATACGAAGCTTGTTCTCTAGGTCAGTAGCTAGTAGTGGGTGAAGGAAGATCATGATGGCAACCCCTAGAACCTGCATCTCTCAAATCAGTCCAGGATGGCTTCCCCTATATTCCTGTTTTCACAGGTTCCCTTTAAGGCTGAGTTGAGGGTCTGTTGTGTTTTTCAAAGTCCTGGAAGCTGTATTTTTAGTGCATGTTTGGTGTGGTAAAAAAAAGGGCACCAGAAACGCACCTCTTATTGAAATGAATGGAAAACACAGCAAAAATTGGGTTGCGTTTCTGGGGCGTTTTTTTTTTTTTTTTTTTTGTCAGACGCCATTTTTTCACAGGTGCAAAATGCACCAGAAATGTGGCAAAAACGCACATGTATTTTTACCATGAAGCGGTGTGAAAGTACCCTTAGAGTTAGGGTCAGGTTATCTGTTAAAGGTGAACTCCACAGAATTGAAATGCATATATGTAAAAACTGCAATAAAATTTGGCGATCAGTGCTAATATCTGCTTGAAAAAGGGACAAATACAGTACCTTACCCTCAGGTCCCTTCCATGCATTAACCCTATCTGTTACCCTAACCTTTACAGTGAATCTATGGCCAGGCTATGGAGCAACTATCCATCCCAGTCCTTATCTTGGGACTACAGAATGATTAGCCCTTATGTTGTAGAGATGGGAGAATAGGTCAGTGTGATTAGTTTGTCAAGAGAAAACTGGGGCAGGGCTAACCACACTCGCTCTACAGAAATGTTGAGTTTTGTTTGCCCACAACATGGCATAGGAGCGGAGTGCATTTCTGACAGATCCACAAGTGTTTTTCTTTTTGTGGATGGTTTTTAACTGGATAAAATATGGGGACATATGCATATATTGCAGATATGTACTGAGGTTGTTTATTTTGCTTTGACATACACACTTATGACCTTACCTTTCTGACCTTCTAGCTGCTGGCATCCCAACCAATGACATCATCAGTTGATAAGGAGGACATCGGGTGCATGCACAGAATCTTTGTTTGCCCCTCCAATGCCCTTCTCTGTCAGCATTCACATTAGCTGAGAAAGACACACTGGTACTGACTAGTATTCCAGAGTGCAAATGTGTATTTGCTTTGGAAGAATACATCACCTCAAACATTGGGTGCCCTATGTGTGTGAATGTGTGTAAAATAGTTTTTTACATTTTAGAATGGGGTGTCTTGAGATTGTGCAGAAATTTAAAGGGTGCCTTGACTGAAAAAAAGAATGTTAAGAATATGTCAATTCTTGAATGTCTACAGCCTGGCCACAGATTTCAGCTAACACTAACCCTCCATAATGTAACCCTAACCCCTTTTTTGCATACTCTGCTTTCATGGAATGTTCTTTTGCCAAACACAAACTCTACCTATGTGACAAATACCAGCATCTACTGTTTCATGGGGACTGTTTTCCTGCCGAAGCCTTTGAAATCTGTCAAGTCAGTCTTGTGATCCATTCACCCTTGCACACAGCACAGCTATATCCTCTACTGTAGCAGCAGCCCTGCTTGGTTAATAAACTGCACAAAAAACACCCCCTAGCTTACTAATTGGACAGTTATGCAGCAGCAGCCACGCGCTATGTTCCTCTGTCTTCTCTCTCCGCTTTGTAGTTATGTCACCGTATTCCCTGATGTGCACTGTAGCAGGGCTTGATTTGCTTGTTGCTGCTTCACAGGGGATTACAGAATAATGGTATTAAAACAAATTCTGGTACTTTCACTCTAAGGGTCAATTTTTTAGGTTAGGCCTGAAATGATTTATCTTTGTCTCATTTTTTTACATCACAAAAACCTGAGATTTTAACGGGTGCATAGACTTTTTATATCCACTGTATGTGTGGGGTTTTTTTTTTTTTTTTTTTTAATTTAAAATGGAAATAAACCACCATAAAAAAAAAATGAGGCCCCATAGAGCTTTTTGTTATAGTGTATACGAATGCACAGCATATTTGCACATTTTGACACACTTGCCTACAAAGTGATCTCCAGCATTGCAATGTCCATGTTCTATCACCGGCTCTTCCATCTTCACCTGGTGTTTTTTCCAGGTGCCAAGTCTTCGATTGTTTTGATTGGTCAGGATGTCATAACCCTGTCCCAGCACAGAATCATGCCAAGATTGTACAATGAATTGCACAAGTGCAGCTTGGTGTACATTAAAAAAAGGTAAACGTTTATGACAGAAGAGACCTACAACACAATAAATAAAAAAAAAAGGGGGGGGTGACTCCCACTTTAAATTCATGTTTTCATTCAGTGCTGAAAGCCTTGTGCTGGGTTCCTGGCTAGAAAAACAAATGCATCATTATACAGTGCATGTGCTTCATTTGTTCAATGGATGCGCCAGGGTAGAAAACTGTATCACATCTTTGTGGCATACAGTTCAAATGGGAATGGAGGGGGATCTCTTATAACTTGGCATCCTCATGAGAGACCTATCCATATGGGACATCCTCAGTCCTTGTTTCACCTGTTCATCATCTCTCTGTGACATCTCACTGTCTCTTTTCTTAGACCCACGTCCTAGGAGGTTCAAGTGTGGTTTACCACAGCCGTGTCCTGAGAAACATTTTGCCTTCCGAATGGTGAGCGGAGCAGCAAATGTCATTGGGCCCAAGATCTGCTTTGAAGATAAAATGTGAGTGCTGGGATATGCATTTAACACTGTTTCGGTTTCTACCAAAATTAGTACTGAACAGGAGTCGGTCAGGATAGTCTTTACATGTCACTGTCAAGGTTCCCATCTAGTACTGGACGTTGTCATTAAGCAGTGCTAGTTTTACAACTGAGTATTACATATCATTTTATGCTGTGACCCTTAACCACTTGCCAACCGTGCTATAGCTGAATGACGGCTACAGCGTGGTTGTCCAGTTCTGGGAGGGCGTCATACAGTGAGGAACAGAGGTATTTGAACACCCTGCGATTTTGCAAGTTCTCCCACTTAGAAAATCATGTAGGGGTCTGAAATTCACATTGTAGGTGCATTCCCACTCTGAGAGACAGAATTTTTAAACAAAAATTCAGGAAATCACATTGTATGATTTTTAAAGAATTTATTTGTGTTGCACTGCTGAACATAAGTATTTGAACACCTAAGAAACAGCAGGAATTCTGGCTCTCAAAGACCTGTTACTGTGCCTTTAAAAAGTCCACCTCTACTCCACTCATTAATCTAACTCAGTAGCACCTGTCTGAGCTCCTTAAAGACACCTGTCCACCCCACAGTCAGTCAGACGCCAACGACTACCATGGGCAAAAGAGCTGTCAAAAGACACCAGAGACAAAATTGTGGACCTCCACAAGGCTGGAAAGGACTACGGGGCAATTTCCAAGCAGCTTGGTGAAAATAGATCAACTGTTGGAGCAATTGTTAGAAAATGGAAGAGGCTAAAGACGACTGTCAGTCTCCCTCGGACTGGGGCTCCATGCAAGATCTCACCTCGTGGGGTATCACTGATGATAAGAAAGGTGAGGAATCAGCCCAGAACTACAAGGGAGTTGCTGGTCAATGACATGAAGAGAGCTGGGACCACAGTTTCAAAGGTCACTGTCGGTAGAACACTACGCCGTCATGGTTTCAAATCATGCATTGCATGGAAGGTTCCCCTGCTCAAGTCATCACATGTCCAGGCCCGTCTGAAATTTGCCAATGACCATCTGGATGATCCAGAGGAGGCATGGGAGAAAGTCATGTGGTCAGATGAGACCAAAGTAGAACTTTTTGGTCTAAACTTCACTCGTCGTGTTTGGAGGAAAAAGGATGAGTTGCATCCCAAGAACACCATCCCTACTGTGAAGCATGGGGGTGGTAACGTTATGCTTTGGGGGTGCTTTTCTGCGAAGGGGACAGGATGACTGCACTGTATTAAGGAGAGGATGAATGGGGCCATTTATTGTGAGATTTTGAGCAACAACCTCCTTCCCTCAGTCAGAGAATTGAAGATGGGTCGTGGCTGGGTCTTCCAACATGACAACAACCCGAAGCACACAGCCAGGATAACCAAGGAGTGGCTCCGTAAGAAGCATATCAAGGTTCTGGAGTGGCCTAGCCAGTCTCCAGACCTAAATCCAATAGAACATCTTTGGATGGAGCTGAAACTCCGTATTGTTCAGCAACAGCCCCGAAACCTGGCAGATGTAGAGGAGATCTGTGTGGAGGAGTGGGCCAAAATCCCTTTTGCAGTGTGTGCAAACCTGTTCAAGAACTACAGGAAACGTTTGACCTCTGTAATTGCAAACAAAGGCTTCTGTACCAAATATTAACACTGATTTTATCAGGTGTTCAAATACTTATGTTCAGCAGTGCAAGACAAATAAATTCTTTACAAATCATACAATGTGATTTCCTGAATTTGTTTTTAAGGTCTGTCTCTCAGAGTGGGAATGCACCTACAATGTGAATTTCAGACCCCTCCATGATTTCTAAGTGGGTGTTCAAATACTTCTGTTCCTCACTGTATATATAGAGTCAGTGAACACTGCAACAAAGGATAGCCCGGGTGCAAGCCATATAAAGCATGCACAAATATAATCCGCAAATAGGTGCACTCCATGGCTCTTGGCAACAGAGATATTTGTTTAAAAGTATTGTTTATTCAGGTCGATATTTCAGTCCTTTGTGACAAAGTAAAATATATATACACATACTTACATTTTTTAACATTTTTATTTTACATGTGTATGTGTGCCAGAGCTTGCTGAAGTCTACTAGATAATTTTTTAAAAGCTAAACTCTAGGATTTGGTTTTTTGTCCATGCAGTTTTAAGTTTTGCACAGATCCGACACACAGAAATGCACTCTGGCAGAGAATAGGATCTGATGATTTTTTTTTCCTGCTGCAATTTCACTTACAATTCCCTTTCCCGCCTCACCCAGTGACTGGACAATGAAAGGAGAAGCAGCAAGCATACAGAAGAGCTCATTTTTGTTTTCTCCACCTAATCAGCATGATCTTTGCACTGCAGTGCACTTGATTAGTTTCTCATGGTGCTTCTTTCTCCTCTCTGAACTTTGATGAATAAGACTGCACAGTAGAATGAAATATGCTAATATTAAATCAAATTCAGATACTTGCACTACTTGCATTTAAAAAAAAAAAAAAGAGAGAAGAATGTCTTGAATACTGAGCGGTGTTAATTAGTGCCTAATATACCTGCATGGAGTTCGGCTTTTAAGTTGCCAGTAGCAGTTACATTAAAGTGGTAGTTTAGTACCTGTGAAATGAAAAGCATACCCTTCTATATTCTTGTATTTGCCTCAATCTGTAGCATGTAGTGTGAATCCCGTCTGAACTCTCCTTTTCTATATCTGATTGAGTCACTTCTGGCAGCTTTTCCCTACACAAGGCAGTCTTTCCCTGCCCCCTAACCCCCCCAGCACACACAGTTAATTGTTAATATTTTGTTGAGAATCCTTTACTGGCAATGACTGCCAGAAGTCTGGAGCCCATTGGCATTACCATAGACTTGGTTTCCTCCTTTCTGATGCTTTGCCGGGCTCTAAATGTTTGTCTTCATTTAGTTTTGCCTTCAGCAAATGAAATGCATGCTCAGTTGGGTTGAGATCAGGTGATTTCAGAATATTTCACTTCTTTTCCTTTAGAAGCTCCTGGGTTGCTTTTGCAGTGTGTTTTGTATCATTGTCCATCTGTACGGTAACGCTCCATCCAATCAACTTTGCTGCATTTGGCTGAATCTGGGCTGACAGTATATCTCTAAACATTGCAGAATTCATCTGGCTACTTCTGTCTTCTGTCACATCATCAATAAACACCAATGACCCAGTGCCACTGGAAGCCATGCATGCCCATGCCATCACACTGCCTCCACCATGTTTTACAGATGATGTGTGCTTTGGATCATGATCTGTTCCAAGCCTGCTTCACACTTTTTTTTCTTCCGGTCATTCTGGTACTGATAATCTCAGTTTCATCCGACCAAAGAATGTTTTTCCAGAACTGGTCTGGCTTTTTTAGATTTTTTTTGGCAAAGTCTTATCTGGCTTTTCTATTCTTCAGGCTTATGAATGGTTTGCACCTTGTGGTGAAACCTCTGTATTTGCTCTCGTGAAGTCTTCTCTTGATTGTAGACTTTGACAAGAACACCTACTGGAGAGTGTCCTTCACTTGTCTGAATGTTGTGAATGGGTTTTTCTTTACCATAAAGAAGCTCCTGCGGTCATCCACCACTGTTGTCTTCCGTGGACATCCATGCCTTTTTACTTTTGGCCCTTTGAAAAAAGGGGGATGGCTACTCTTAGGAGCTGTAATTCCTAGACCCTTCCTCTAATTTGGATGTACATACCCTCAAATTAAACCTGAGTGTGCACTTTCAGCCCATATCCATTATATAACAATAGCTTGAATATGTTTTGGTAAATACCTGAACAAAGCTAAAATTGTGCCCAAATATATATGGACCTAACTGTAGGTGATTGACCGCTTCAGATGTGCATGTTTCCCTGTGAGACACTGTAGGGGGTCCTTACCCTCCACTCAGGTCTCAGATTATACTCAGCTCTGTGCTATGGTGTGTTGCATCCGATCCTCCTAAGGTCAGTCACTTTATTTTGGCTTATGTAAAGGGTTTATTATCACTTTGATCTTTCCATTGATAGGTACGTTCAGGACTTCTCCACTTTTTAAATGTTTGCTGAATGTGATGTTCTTCAGAGTGGCATTTACAATCTGAAATGAAAGAATATGTAAACGCTTACCTTAAAAACCCATTCAGTTTAAAATAGATATTAAAGGAAGTGTGTGTGTACTATATATTTTTTATTTATTTGATCATAAATATATTTTTTTCTTTTCTTTTTGTAAGTGATCACATAACCTGTTCTCAGCTGCATAAGGATTTGGAGAGGTTGGGGTGGAGAAACAGTAGAGCACTGATCTTCTCAGTAAATGGCAATGCAGAGGGAGCATGTCAGCACAAGTGTTGACCATTGCCTGACAGGCAGGCTGCTCTTCCAGCACAGCCAGAAAACTTGACACTCTAGGATGTACTCTCAATTCCTAGCGTGGTCAGTGTGAAATAGAAAAGCAGGGGGTCTGGCAGGATCACCAGGTATTTCAAACAAAGGAATAAATACAAAGAGAACAGAAGACTTTTTCATACAAGTACATGGTACAACAGACACACATGAGGAATTTGAAATGTTGGGGTATTCTTTAAAATCTGAACTAACAGTTGTAAATGAATGATGTGACTCTGTATGCTCAGTTCAGATCTTTGTCATCTCATTATAGGTTGATGAGCAGTGTCCAGAACAACGTTGGCCGAGGCCTGAACATTGCACTTGTTAATGGTCAGTCACCTACCTAAGAATGGATATTGTATGATGATCTTAGCATTGCCGTAACAACAAATAGATGCATAGTAGAGAAAACCTGTACCAAGAGAGTGTTATTCAGGGCACGTGAAACTTGGGGTGAAAAAAGTATGAAAGTAGGTACTTCAGCTGGAAATTAAGTCTTTAGGCTTAATGTAGTCTCATCTATTGGCAAGCCCAGATATACCATTAGGCATAGTGCAACTGTGGCTATAGGGGCAGAGGAACTTTCCTGTATGGTTATTGCACACACATTCCCCCCCCCCCCAACTATAAGAAATATATTGTTATCTCCTATAATGAGCTTATTTTTATACAGCCACAATATTCAAAGATGGGTAAAGACTAGTGAAACAAGCAAAGATTCTCCATAAGTGGTGATGCTAACAGAGAGCCTTTACATCTGAATAACAAAGGTTGTGTTTCTATGGACTCCAGTGATGGAAATCCATTCCTTTTCACCATTAAACACAGCCTCATCTAGAGCCAGAAACGTACACTTTACTGCAGCTTGCAGTTCCTCTCCAGTGACTCTGTTGCCCAGAAAAGTTTTTGTGTTTTTTTTATTATAAAGGGGTACCCTGCGAAAGAAGGCCACTCATATTTAACTCCTCTTTGATTCCTTCCACCCACCTCAATGTTAGAACTGTGTCCTGTAGTAAAATTGCTTTGTCTTATTTTGGGTCCAAGGCAAGACCAGCTACTTGCACCCCCCCAAAAAACTTCAAAACAAAACGCCACACGGAGCTAATCCTTGCCATCATAGCTCCGTGTAGGGCAATGCCTGGGGAGCTGGGAGGAAGTGATGTTGTGTGCAGCACTGCTTTCGTGGCACCCCATTGGCTGGATACCTCTTGACAGATTGGCTAGAGCTTGCAGATGATAGCTTCGTCTTCAGCTAATATCATCCAATCTTGTCAGGGGACAGTAACACCAGGACCCAGAAGTGATGTTTTATACATTTCGTCCTGGTCATTAACAGGAAGGGGAGATCAGTGAACAGGTGTTTGCTGATCTCCCTCCCTTCTATCGGTGGCACCCACCATGCAGGTCCCAGATCCGCTGATCGGAACGCGGAGCCTGGGAATTATGGCAGGGCACATGGGGGGTGGAAGTGATCTGGAGGCTGCACAGCTAATGGATCATTTCCACCTGACATTCAGCCTGTCAGATTTGCACACACTCAAGGAGATGCTTTTTGTTAGTTCTTATATACACTTGTGTTTGAGGGACATTAAAAATGTGTGGCTGAACCACACTTTTACCATCCCCCAACCACTCCCCATTATGCTGCAAAAGCACTGCCACCATAGTACAGCAGTGGGGGGGGGTTACAAAACACCCCGCCACTATTGCCATACTATGGTGGCAGTGCCTTTGCAGCATAATGGGGAGCGGTTGGGGGATGTTAAAATTGTGGCTCGGCTGCATATTTTTAATGTCCCTCAAACACAAGTGTAAATAAGAACTAACAAGAAGCATCTCACTGTGCATATGTGATCATCATCCTTATGATGATCACACATTACAGAAAGTGCTGTATGTCTGTTTGTATACAGTGTGTGACTGTATCTCTGTCTGTTCCTCAGAAAACAAATTGTGATATTGCCTGTGCACCGGGTTTCCATTACTGCCTGTGCCCTCGGCCACCTCTCTGTTGATTCATCTTATGCCGCCAGGCTACAGCCTTGCCTTCTGTCATCCTCAGCAGAGGAGGGGATAATCACTCTGCCAGTGAAAGGCTGTGAGCAGCCGTGGCCGGCCTCCACTGATCAGCATTGTAAAATGCAGCGTGGCTTTAGCTGCCTGCACCTGAAATTTGAAAAAAAAAAAAAAAGTCCCTCTCTGCTCCTCACCTCCTGGGTCCCCTGGTGAACTGAGGGGCCCAGGAAAAATATAATTATTGTTATAGCAAGAGCCAGCTGTACTATCCTATCAGCGGCCCTGGCTGCGCCCAAGACGCCTGTCTAGTTTGCCTAGTGGTAGCTCTGGTCGTGTATTGCACCCAGTAGGAGAAAATGCCACACACACATCAAGGGACCAAACATCTGATACAAGAGTTTTGGATGCTTTCAGCAGATGTATCTGTGTACAACTAGCAACTTGAGACTATGCTATTTTCTGGTGTTTATCATGAAACTCTGCAAAAGGCTTTTTTTCCAAACAGCCTCCACATGGCACATTTAAAAACCCAAACAATAAACGTCTCCAATTTACTTCCTTCTGTTATGTTAAATATACAATTGAAAAGTGCTTTGTAATATATGTTGGATAAGTACAAAAGAAAACCTGTTGACCTTTTTAGAAATTCAGAGCTGTCCTATATCTTCATGTGTTATCTCAGTAAGTGGAATCAGCCCTCCAAGTTCTTAACTTAGACTACAGAACAATTCACTTCTATGTTGAAGAGATGTTGGGCATGACATGAAGGGATTCTCTAGTTTACAATAAGAAAATTGGGCAGAGCTGACACCATTTCCTATATTCCCAGAAATGTTACTGGTGTTTGCAATCCATAACAGGAAATTAGGAGTTGAGCGTGCATATCTGGTAGATGAACGGGTACTTGAGGGGGTCTTTAAAACATGGGAGGAAATATGCATATATTGTAGACAAGTCCGTTTTCTAATTCACACCCCTGCACAGTCTGGCAAGTTACAATCTAATTCCCCGGTCCAACTTTGCAGCTTTTATCTCTCTACCACTAGACTGCACATTGGACAGATGATCATCATCATCATCATGTCCAATGTGTAATGGTGACCATTGTCATCTAAAAATAACCCGAGGGGGAATCCAACATTTTTCTAGTTGTCCCCAGAACAACAGGAAAATTAAGGGTAATCGTATCTTCAATGGGCACATCTGTTTCAGGGACAGCTGTCTAAGAGGAGAATTCCCTTCACTTAAGGAGATTTCCTATGACTCCCTGCTGCCTGTTTGGGACAGGCAGTAGAGGGAAATGTCCCCAATGCACAGCAAAAAAATGTTTTTACTATATACTTTAAGTTGTTTGCTTGGATTTGAGCAATAATATATACATTGTATGAGGGATAAATGTAGCTGCCTTTTTGCTTTTTATTAAAAAAAAAAATTACATTTGTTCATATTTTCCCAGGAGTGAGCGGGGAGCTTATTGAAGCCAAATCTTTTGACATGTGGGATGGAGGTAAGATGCTACACGTATCATGCACATTTTCCTTTAAATATTTGATATTTTATAATAAGAAATAGCAGTTCTCAGGGCTTGGGTGACAAGGTTGTCCAAGTATGTTATTATTATTATACAGAATTTATATAGCGCCAACAGTTTGCTCAGCGCTGTACATTATAATGGGAGACAGTACACAAGACAGTACAGTAACAATACAATTCAATACACGAGGGGTTCAAGAGCCCTGCTCTTTGGAGCTTTCAATTTAGGAGGGAATATGTAAATTAGTTTCCTTGATGGAGTTGCTCCTTTGCTGTCAAGGGCCTCTGCATTGGAAAAGGTAAGTGGTCTCATGGTAATGTTGCTGGGGAGTAGTGTCCACCAACATGTGCAACACTCCAGTGTCCTGCCTTAACAAACACCCACTATTCCTGTAGAAATCATACCTATCTTCAAGGACCCAAGTGGTTGGCAGCCCTTTCTAGAACTTTGTGCTCACTGCCAGGTCAAATTGTAACTAAGGCTAAATCTACTCCCACCCCCATTCTAAGACAACTTTATCTACCCTATTAAAGAAAAATGCCTCCACTTACCTATTCTGTTTCAATAATGTTTGTTGAAGTTTTACATACAATACAAAACAAATAGACAGTAGAAAGGCTTTCAGCTGACACATGGCCCAATTGGAGGTGGCCAGCCACAAATGGGCACTTTACCTATTCTGAAGGCGCCAGGGTCCTGTTCAAGGATTGGGTCCCATCACTTACTTTAGTGTGGAGGAGGGTAATGTAGACAGAATAGTCTTAGAATGAGAATGGGAGTAGATTTATCCGTAGTTAGAATTTGTAATTGCACTTTAAATTTACATTGTTAAACCATAGCTGACTGCTCAATATACCACAAGAGATGTAACTGCTGTGGTTGATCCCTTGATTATTGAACCCATGGAGCAAATGGCTGTAGTTTTAAATTCCAGATGTGTTGGTCTGCTGGAAGCTTCCTGTCTCATCTCTCGTATGGGTCTTATGTGAGTACACTTTTATGTAGGGCATTCTGGTTGGAGTGTTGGCCTGCCAAGCACTTGTGTAAGAAGCATACAGTCAGGTCCATAAATATTGGGACATCGACACAATTCTAACATTTTTGGCTCTATACACCACCACAATGGATTTGAAATGAAACGAACAAGATGTGCTTTAACTGAAGACTGACAGCTTTAATTTGAGGGTATTTACATCCAAATCAGGTGAACGGTGTAGGAATTACAACAGTTTGCATATGTGCCTCACACTTGTTAAGGACCCAAAGGTAATGGGACAGAATAATAATCATAAATCAAACTTTCACTTTTTAATACTTGGTTGCAAATCCTTTGCAGCCAATTACAGCCTGAAGTCTGGAATGCATAGACATCACCAGACGCTGGGTTTCATCCCTGGTGATGCTCTGCCAGGCCTCTACTGCAACTGTGTTCACATCCTTCTTGTTATTGGGGCATTTTCCCTTCAGTTTTGTCTTCAGCAAGTGAAATGCATGCTCAATCGAATTCAGGTCAGGTGATTGACTTGGCCATTGCATAACATTCCACTTCTTTCCCTTAAAAAACTCTTTGGTTGCTTTTGCAGTATGCTTTGGGTCATTGTCCATCTGCACTGTGAAGCGGCGTCCAATGAGTTCTGAAGCATTTGGCTGAATATGAGCAGATAATATTGCCCGAAACACTTCAGAATTCATCCTGCTGCTTTTGTCAGCAGTCACATCATCAATAAATACAAGAGAACCGGTTCCATTGGCAGCCATACATGCCCACTCCATGACACTACCACCACCATGCTTCACTGATGAGGTGGTATGCTTAGGATCATGAGCAGTTCCTTTCCTTCTCCATACTCTTCTCTTCCCATCCCTCTGGTACAAGTTGATCTTGGTCTCATCTGTCCATAGGCTGTTGTTCCAGAACTGTGAAGGCTTTTTTAGATGTTGTTTGGCAAACTCTAATCTGGCCTTTCTGCTTTTGAGGCTCACCAATGGTTTACATCTTGTGGGGAACCTTCTGTATTCACTCTGGAGAAGTCTTCTCTTGATTGTTGACTTTGACACACATACACCTACCTCCTGGAGAGTGTTCTTGATCTGGCCAACTGTTGTGAAGGGTGTTTTCTTCACCAGGGAAAGAATTCTTTGGTCATCCACCACAGTTGTTTTCCGTGGTCTTCCGGGTCTTTTGGTGTTGCTGAGCTCACCGGTGCGTTCCTTCTTTTTAAGAATGTTCCAAACAGTTGTTTTGGCCACGCCTAATGTTTTTGCTATCTCTCTGATGGGTTTGATTTTTCAGCCTAATGATGGCTTGCTTCACTGATAGTGACAGCTCTTTGGATCTCATCTTGAGAGTTGACAGCAACAGATTCCAAATGCAAATAGCACACTTGAAATGAACTCCGGACCTTTTATCTGCTCATTGTAATTGGGATAATGAGGGAATAACACACACCTGGCCATGGAACAGCTGAGAAGCCAATTGTCCCATTACTTTTGGTCCCTTAACAAGTGGGAGGCACATTTGCAAACTGTTGTAATTCCTACACCGTTCACCTGATATGGATGTAAATAGCCTCAAATTAAAGCTGACAGTGTGCAGTTAAAGCACATCTTGTTCGTTTCATTTCAAATCCATTGTGGTGGTGTATAGAACCAAAAATGTTAGAATTGTGTTGATGTCCCAATATTTATGGACCTGACTGTATGTGATCCACATAGCTTTCAAGGGACAATATTTCTTCAGACAGACCCTTGATATGATTATCAAGAATGTTTGTGGCAAGAGCGCCCATCTTTTACATAGAAAACTAAAGAGCAGATTGCAGAGTCTTTTCCCTCTCTGTCTGGTACTCATAGTCTACCATATCCCCAGACAGACCCTTCTCTGTTACACGCAGACTTTCTAGAGTTGGAGTAATGTTTGTTAAAGTTGAACATGGGGCACAAAAAGTTAATTGAAATATTTTTCTTCAGTAGCCGCAAAAGAGATAAATGGGGCCTATACACTAACAGTTCCTGGCTCTGCCCTTTGGCCTGTCTTTTGCACTTTTGGCATTCACCAAGGTGCTGGCCCCAGTATTAGCCCTCCTGCCTTTTCAGGGAATGCCCATTGTGGGATGCTTAGACAACCTTCTGTTAAGGGAACAGTCAGTGCAGGTTTTGTCAGGCAATGCGGCTTTGTGGCTGTTAGCATTCTGAAAGGCCATGGTTTTTTCTGTCCTGTTTCGGAGACTGTTGGCTCCCCGAAAAACCAGCCTCCCCCCACAAGTAAAACCGCCCACTCTGCATTTCTCGTTACATCTTTTCCTAAATAATGTGTACTTTCTGCTATCCCGCTCTACTACTTCATATTTTTCACCTTGGACACAAAATCTTCCCACTTTCCCCACCTCCTATAATATAACCCCATCTTGTCCTTACAATTTCTCCATCCTATTTATCTGGTTCACTCTTTCCACCTAATCCTCTTCTCTCGGCACCTCTGAACTATGCCAAAACTTAGGTATCAGACCTTTTGCCGCATTCAGATAGTACCATATACCCGAATCCTTGTATTTATTCACTGATAGCTCTGAACTATGTAGTAGACACAACTCTGGGTCCAAACCTATCTTTGTCCCAGAGACCATCCCAATCAAATGAACTATTGTCTCCCAGAAACCTTGAATCTTTGGGCGTTCCCACCATATGTGATATAACGTACCTATCTTTCCACACCCTCGCCAACACTCTGGTGTATTCTCCCCACTCATCTTATATTCAACGTTCGGTGCAATGTGCCATCTTGTTAAACTCTTATAGTTTACCTCCACCTCTCTCATGCTTATATTCTCGTGTGTTAGTCTATATATTTTCCTTTGTTTGTCTTCATCTATCTCTATTCCTATATCCCTTTCCAATTTTACTATGTGCATTGACTTTGTGTGTGTGTCTAGCTCATTGAGCTTTTGCTGTGCCCCGTTTCCCATCTCCACGTGATTCCAACAGCCTCTCTCAAACAAATTCCAATCCTTTCTCATTCTCAAAGGTTTCGGAAGATTCCCGACAAAGTGTTTTAATTGGTGATATCTCCACTCATCAATCTTAATAAAAAGTTCCCTTTTATCCTTTTTCAAATCTTTAAGTGTTCTCAATTCCTGCCATAATATCCCTCAGTTGAATATTCTCATTTTTAAACCCTTTTCCTTTATCTTTCCATATAAAAGGGAATTCTTTTTGTATCTTTTCTTTTTCACTATTCGGAAGATTTACATTTAAGATCTCAGTTTTGGTTGGGTTGATCTTCAAATTTGATAGCTCCCCATACTCCTTTAAGCTCTTCATTAAATTTGGGAGTGTTATCCTAGGATTTCCCACATAGAACAACAGGTCATCTGCAAAGGCTGCTACTTTATGTTCAATTCCTCCTATCTGTATTTCTTTTATATCCATGTTTTTCCTAATTGTTGCCAGGAAAGGTTCCAATGATAATACATATAACATTGGGGACAGTGGGCATCCCTGTTTTGTTCCATTTGACATCCCAATAGGTTCCGACCTCTCTCCGTTAACTACAATAACCGCGGAGGGCTCTCTATACAGTTTTCCTATCCACTCTCTCATTCTAACTCCCAATCCTAGGGTTTCCAGAGTGTCCATCATAAAGCTCCAATCTACTTTATTGAATGCCTTTTCAGCATCAATCGAAAGCACCACTGCTGGAGTTTTCCCCTTCCTAGCCTTCTGGATAAGCAACAAAGTTCTCAACCCATTGTCTCTACCCTCCCTCCCTGGCACAAAAACCCACCTGGTCTCCCTGAATCCATTCTGGCATTAAATCTTTCAACCTATTTGCTAAAACCTTTGCATATAACTTGGTGTCTATGTTCAAAAGTGAAATTGGTCTATAACTAGAGCACTGAGAAGCATCCTTCTCTTCCTTTTGAATAAGCACCACATTGGCCTGTAAAGATTCCCGCCTCATCTCCATCTCCCCA